GCTCTGCCACCAAGGAGTTGTTTAACTGCCTCAGTGACCTCGCCCCCGGAAATTGGCGGGTCATTCCCCTCATCCCCAGACTCTGCTTCCTCCTCGGAAGACGTGTCAGTGGGATTAAGGAGGTTCTCGAAGTATTCCTTCCACCACCTGACAATTTTCTCAGTTGACGTCAGCAGCGCTCCGCCAGCACTATACACAGTGCAGGTAGAGCACCGCTTTCCCCTCCTGAGACGCCTGACGGTTTGCCAGAATCTCTTCGAGGCAGTCCGAAAGTCTTTTTCCATGGCCTCTCCGAACTCCTCCCACACCCGAGTTTTTGCTTCAGCCACTGTCCGAGCTGCGTTCCGCTTGGCCTGTCGGTACCTGTCAGCTGCCTCCGAAGTCCCACAGGCTAATCAAGCCCAATAGGACTCCTTCTTGAGCCTGGTGGCTCCCTTCACCTCTGGTGTCCACCATTTGGTTCGGGGGTTACCACCATGACAGGCACCAACCACCTTGCAGCCGCAGCTCAATGCAGCAGCTTCGGCAATGGAGATGCTGAACATGGTCCATTCAGACTCAATGTCCCCACTCTGCCTCGGAATGCAATGAAGCTCTGCCGGAGGTGTGCGTTGAAGATCTCATGGACTGGGGCCTCTGCTAGACGTTCCCAGCACACCGTCACTACGCTTTTAGGTGCACCGGGTCTGTCCAGCGTCCTCCCCCACCACCTGATCCAACTTACAGGACTTAAAGGATCTGTAGTTAACAGCTAACGTACAACATCTTGCCATCCATGCTAGATACCAGAGCACACCTTCAGGAGTCTAGTGGAGTCCATACCTTGACAGTTCAGGGCCGTTTTGGCAGCAAAAAGGGGCCAACACGATATTAGGCAGGTGGTCATAATGTAATGCTTGTGTGACTGAAGCGAGTGAACCAGAGAAACGTTTAACGTAAACACTCAAATTCGACTCTTATCGCCATAAAAGACTTCAGATGGGACATTCTGTGGGACAACTGCCCTTTGCCAAAGTCTCTAAACACTTTCCTTGTGAATTTATGGTCTCACTGACCCGTTTCAGTTTATACGGGATAAAAACTTTTGTAAATTTTAGTGATGCTAGGTAGGTGCCAGAAAAGAGGATTTTCCAAGAAAACAGGCACTGTTAACAGGTTACTGGTTTGAATGCCCCATACATAACTTTTTCAGCACGCTCGAACCAACACTAAGAGCTAAAACCCAGCTGTGCAAACGGGAAGAGTGGAAGTCAGTTAAGATGAGAGCTTCAGCTAAGCAAATAAATAATATAAAACCAGGAAGAAATTACAGGATATAAAGACATTATTTTCAATGTTTGGACATCTGATTCAGTTTGGAGAGGTTCATATTTAGGATTTGGGGCTCTTGGACAAAGGGGCCCACGTTACCTTGGGTTTGAGCAGGTCTAGTCGGCTCTGGACTCTGTTCTTTAGGGGTTCTGGAGAACATCCAGTAGACACTTCAGGGGATCTGAGGAGAGAGAGCCACAGCGAGAAGCAAAGAAAATTTTTCAATAAATTAAAAAAGCTACAAGCTTACATGGCCACAGTAACCGAGAAATCTGCCTGCTATTTCTTCAAACAACGTTCTCCCTTTAAAACTCTCACCATGTAAAGATGTTTTCACTAGCATTAGCCGTACAGTGTCACCCGCCCCTGTAGCCACAAACACAACCAGTGGCTGTATTATTTTTATTTCAGAGCAGATAAATTGTTCCACTGTGATGTGGGAGGATTTTCCTCCATACGGTTTCAGAGGAAAGTCGCACAGATCCATGTTGGCCTATTTTATATTTCAGGGGGATTCCCACTCTCACTGAACCCTGTGGTAGTGAAAAAAGTCTTTACTGGTTTCAGACTCAGATTCAGAGTTTACTGCAACAAACTAATCACAAATATAATTATTCTCTCCTTTGGCATTATTGTGTCACTGACAAAAGAACTGAGGAAAAAGAACTCAAGTGATGGTATTGCTTTGGAAAGAAACTCGCATATTTGGGCTCTTGGGATCAAGAACCCATACAAAATATTATAAGAAGACCAGCAACATCTTTCAAGAACTTGCCCATCATATTAAGGCAGACAGTAAACTACAAGCTCATTTAACTCGAATTAATCTGACGAGGCTGTGAACACGATGAAGTTCCAGTTTAACATAGAAAAATTAATAAATACAAAGTAGTGATTTTGCTCTATTACAGTGTTATATGATGTAAGCGCTCTTTACTGTGTTTGCACATGGCACTGAAGGAAATGGTAACAGTCACTTCATGAAATTTGGGTACTGCACCACTAGAAATCTAATATTTGGATAAGACAATCAAATATTAAAAATTAAAACTAGATAAATTGATATTGTATTTTTGTTTCACTTCTTTAAAAGCAATTTTTTGGTTGACCTTAAAACCCACTATTAGTCAAACTCCCCTAAATTTACTTTTATTTTACTATTATAACCTTTCTTCTAGAGGTCATCACATAATGCAGTAAGTCAGGCCTGCTTTAATTCTTAATTTTGCCAAATGTAGCCTTAATATTTATTTTAACCAACTGAAAATGCAGATATCAGATTTTGAGTGACCTGCAGAATTAACAGGAACCAACCTGAACAGCGTGAGGACGCAGGTCCCCTCTGCTCCACAGAGGACGGGCTGATCCTCGGACAGCAGGTCGGCTTTGCTTTGACACGGAGGAGTCAGGGCTTCTTCATCCAGCAGCGCCATCAGCACCTTCACAGTGTCACGACCTCCGTATGCTGTAGCGTGATTGACTGCATACACTTTTGGCTGGGGGTGAAGACCAACATAACTACAGTCACAGCTCTGCCAGATGGTGAACAGACAGTGAAACATGAAGTGGGTTCAATGTATGGACTTGTGGCGAGAAGGAAAAGCCCAGAGTGGAGCCAGCTGGCTGAAAGCAGAGGTTATACATTACCCTTGCAGGACTTATCCCTGTCCCGCTTCCATTAGCAGACTGCTTCTGGATCTGGTGTAGCTGGCAGATCCTCTCCTTTAGCTCCTGTGCAGTCTCCTCAGCAGCAGCGTACACGGCATCTCCGCTGCTGCGACCCTTCACCAACACCGCCCTGATGGCGGTCACCAGCCTGGCTCCACATACACTGGGAAGTCAACAAAGTGACAAGGGAACAAGAAATGAGCTACAGGAAGAGAAGAAACGCTGAATAACTTTGGAAAGGAGCAGATTCTTTCTTATGCGGGACACGCAGTGGTTTTCATCTGGATGGAGTATACAGTCTTCAAGAGTTCAGCCAACATTTGCCAGCATGAATAACGCTCTCGCAGAAAAGCCGGGGCTTTAGTCTGAATGTCTTTAAAAGATATACTGCTTCTTCACTTTCAATTAATTGGACACTGAATTTCAGGGCTCAGAGTAATTGTTTCAGCATTAACATCCAGTAGAGCTTTATTTCACTATAGCAGAGTTTTGCCAATGTTAACAGTTATAACAGTTACATGGTCACTGCACTCCGGTCTGATTTTCCTCTTTATGTCGCAGTTGGGAGGGGGGGTGTTGATCCGTGTTTGTCTCCACAGTATGTCCAAAAATCATAGCAACATATCACTTATGTAAGTTTCAAACAGTCAAGTGCACCAAAATGTTTTGGTGGCGAGGCGGTGGTCCAAACCTGACCCGGCTCTGATGCGAGGGAGCGAGCGCGCCTCAGTAACAGAATCATTTGGGAAAACAGATGTTCGCTGAACAAGGGGCCCTGAACTCGCCACAGAAGGTGTTTGTATGAGGAAATACGGTACTCCACTGAGAGCGTAAAGGCACTGCCTGCTGAAAGACACGTTGGCCGTGCTCATCAGCATCTCATCAGACGGGAGTTCTCAACGACCCGCGTGAACTGAGAACCCTCAGAAGAGCAGCGAGAGTTGAACACGGCACTGCACAAACATCATGTGTTGTTATGGCTCGAGCGAATCCGCCGTTGCTACTGGGACTGCTTACAAAAGGCTCCTTCTGCAGCTTCAGCTCAAAGCTCACATGATTGAACTGCTAAATTATTTGTGATAGCCACTTCTGTTGTGGTGCCAGATGCTTTGACATCTAAAATAATCTGTAACAGTATAGAGAGTGATCTGTGGAGCTCTAGGTTTGATGATAGTTCATCAAAGTGAGCGAAGCAAACACACGGGGAACAAGTTATTTAACAAAGATGGGCTTTGATGTAGCAAAGATGAACATGCTTTAGCAATCCAAATGTTATCATGCTTAGATGGGAGTCATTACAGGGATTTTGGGAGGAAATAATAAGAAGCAGTGGGGGGACAGGTGGATTTTATGATCACAGGTGTGATTTCAGCACAGTCTGATCCGCCCTGCTACAAATATTCCCACCAGTCGTAGCAGCGCACTGCCAAATCCTTGAATTCACAAGAACTGAGTCAGCTCCTCCAGAAAGGAAGCGGGATTTAACCTGAACTGAAGTGGAGAAATTCAAAGAAAAATCCAATCCAATTATAAATCACAAGTTTCACTGTGCTTGACTTCAGCTGCCGCCAGGTGCTCAGCTTTTCTTGGAATCTCTGCATTCTCCTCATCAGCTTAGGATGACTCTGGATATGAAATACATGTGTGTGTACTATAAAAGCACAAGCTATTAAATACTGTAGAACAATTTGAAATTATTAGGTATTTATCTGAAACTGAAAACCTTTTCGGGGTTCCCTCAGGTCAATAAAAGTAAAGAAATCTTACTTATATTGCATGATTCAAACATTTTTAGTCATGCTTAAACATTAACACAGTAACACGCAACAGTATGTGTTACAGTAAACTAGGAAAAAATGACAGATTCTTTTACATGATTTTTAAGGTGTTCTAGAAATGATTACCTGAAAAAATAATTAAAGACAGCTTTTTGACAAAAAAAAAAAAAAACAACAACAAAAAAAACCCCATTTACTTCAATGCCCACTTTGTACAAAAGATTTAGATTTCAAAAACATTTGTTGTTAATATGTTGATTAAGAAGACTATTAATTAACTGCTACTTACATAAAAATATACTATATATGTGTGAATGACATGAAGTGATATAGCTAGCCTCACAATGTAATTAACATTAAACTAAGCAGATGCTTATGCTAAGCTTACAAGCTGTAAACATAAAGTAGGAAACATAATTCATCTTGTGTGAGATGATAGCCAATGTGTGATAATTTATAGGTTAAGAGGCACTAAAAACTATGTTATTCAGACTCCAGCGTTTTGATAAAGCTAGAGTAGCGTGTTCTGTTGGTATTTAGATATTATGTGAAACTAAGCAAAGCTGCTAGCTACAAGTTAAAAAAAAAGTTGAAAAAAAAAGTTATATGGTTGAGAAAAAAAAAAAGCGAACAATTTTGTTTTTTCTGTTGTTGAAAATCTAAGTGATGCCTGATGTATTTATAACTTCTATTGCAATTTGACTTCAATTCTTTAGAAAACAAAGAATTTCCAGTTCAGGTGATAGAGTGCATCTCAACTTCCCGACATTTACATTTAGTTCTGTCTCTACGGTGGAGGCGTATGTCAAACTAAGCAGCAAGACAGGGAGCAAGTGGAAGCCTGGATCAAACAGTTCTGTGTACCTTGGGTCGGGGATCTCCCCCAGTATTTCTTCCAGGTTGTCTACAAACTGGACAAAGTCAGACAGGCCTTTGACATGCTTTCTCAGTGGGTCAGATTCAGCTGGAGCATAGCCCTTCCCTCCAAGCTGGAGAGCCCTAACAAAAGACGTCACGGCCTGCAAAAAAAAAAAAAAAAAGCATGAGAACGACCCAGATGTTGCACCAGAGAGGATTACTCTCATTTACTTGAGCACATAATGACTGGGGGTGTTCTTACCAAGAACAGAGAAGTGTTGCTGTTGTGCGCAGCATGCTTGATGTCAGTAAACGCCTGTCGTCCAAGAGTGCGACTGGGAACGTCGAGGATTAGCGCCATGGCAATGTCGTTCTTGGTGTTTACCAGCAAATTCAGATAGGAGCAGAAAACGCGTCTCACAGCCATTTTCACCTACAGACAAATAGAAAACACACAAGACCAAAGATTTTTACATTTTAATAAACTGTCAACGGTTCCCCAAGATTATAAGGGAAACTAACAGAAAGTCTATTAAATCTTAAACTGGGTAACGTGTTTGAGATGCATTTTGGTTGCATCCTCTCATTGGTATTATGGCATTCAAAGGCTAATGAACAGTTAATGAACAGTGCAGCACGGTGGTTAGCACTGTTGCCGCACAGCAAGAAGGTCCTGAGTTCAATTCCAACACCAGGCCGGGGTCTTTCTGTGAGGAGTTTGCATGTTCTCCCCGTGTTTGCGTGGGTTCTCTCCGGGTACTACGGCTTCCTCCCACCGTCCAAAGACATGCAACTTGTGGGGATAGGTTAATTGATTAATCCAAATTGTCACTAGGTGTGAATGTGCGAGTGAATGTGAGTGTGAATGGTTGTCTGTCCCTTTGTGTTAGCCCTGCGACAGACTGGCGACCTGTCCAGGGTGTACCCCGCCTTTCGCCCTATGACAGCTGGGATAGGCTCCAGCGCCCCCCGCGACCCTGAAAAGGATAAGTGGAAGCGAATGGATGGATGAGCAGTTAACGTCATGGCATTAATGCAAGTGCTTAACCAGCACTTTGGAAATTTTGGGTTTTGTTTACTTTCATTTTTCAGATGAAAAACTCATGATGTAACTACACATTGTGTCAACCCTCCTCAAACAACTGTGATTAGCCAACTCAGTACCATTGTTTCCTCAAGTACATTTCCTGCAACTTCTACTTCAAATAGATTGGAAGGGTATGGGTCAATTTGAAGAGAGAAAAATCAGCGCATTCTAGTGATTTGGTAGCAGAATTGAAAAGCAACAGAGGTACAGTAGGAACAAATATGAATACTGTTTCATATTATATTCATACTTTTCTCAATTGGTCAGAAGGGAGGTGTCCTTCTTGGCCACTGTATTTAAATATGGTGGTGGAAGACAGTGGCTGCACACCCGCTCCTATGCATTTATAATAGATTATAAGTGTAGTTTGTTGGAAGACATAACTACACAATGTATATTTATCCTTTCCTTTGAATTAAATAACCTCAAAAGGTTACTGACTGCTGGTGCCAAGGAGACTGGAAACAAGCCCGATCAATAAACCAGGCACCTAATAGATACAGTTAAACCTTCAGCTCCCTTGTTTCCCCAATTAGTGACCATACCAGATAGAGCCACATAGACTTGTGGCTCCTCATTGTTTCAAACTGGGGATGTTCTAGGTGTAAGGTGACTGTGTTAATCACCACATCATAGATGGCAGCTAGGTATCATGTTTATAAATCTCTCCCCTGTCTTGACCTTACAATAGTTTAAGAAGAAAGGCTACAATTAACATTAAAAACTAAAGCTGAAAAAAAATAAAACAAACAAAAAAAAAAAAACCTACCTGGAGGAAATATTTTAAACGCAAAATGAAATAAAACAAAAACTTATATTAGTACCTCAGTTTTTTTATTTTTATTGTTTTAAGACCAAACAAACCATCCATCAGTTATATTGTAAGGTGATAGACAGAAAATCCCAACAACCAGATGGTCTCCTATGAACATGATTTTGGCAACAACGAGGAGAAAGAACTCTCTTTCAACAGGAATAGACCACCTCCCATGACTAGTTTAGGGGTAAGGGTCTAGAGATATCACTGAAACAAAAATGTACGGATTTGATGGAGAGTTATCTGCTGTATTAGTTTGCCATTCTGCAGCCAAACAAAGCAGAGACTCCAGGAAGTTACTGGAACCAGACAAGACAGCGGCAAATTATTTTTATTTCCCTATTTATATTAAAACAGCAGATAATCTCTCCGTGTCTGTTTTTACTTCTGCTAAGCAAACCAGCAACAACATTTACTTCAGTAAAAACCTTCGGTCTGAAATGCCCAAACTGGAAAGTAAGCTTTAGTTCCCGAGTAAAACGGCTACAAACAGCAGCTGGCATCGCTCCAGTAAAAAATTACATCAGCACAGCAAGCCTCCTCTCTAAAACCCCATAAATTTGCAAGAGGCAGAAGAGACCAGCAAAGAGACTGTGTTACAGAAGCTCCTGTGTCGTGTTTTAAACATCTGCCTGGTAATTGAATTCACATTGCACCCTTAAATCTGAGTGATGTGATATAGAGCTCCTGTCAATAAGAGCAGGATGGATTCCAGACAGAAATTACACTGAAGGCTGGGAAAGCAAAAGCATGGATTACTGCCTGCAGGAGAGAAGCATTTCATATTACTAAAACACAATATTCAAAGGCAGAAGGCAAAGTGGAAATAAAGGATTTCTTGTGGGAGTTTATGAAACAAGTTGCACCTTTCACTGAAGCAGAAAAAACACAGTTGGGCCTACCTGTGAGCTGCAGGACCTGCCTTTACCAGATGGGGTTGACGGGACTGAGGAAACTGGCAACTCTGGGACTTCCACGTTGCCCGATAGGAACTCAAACAGCTGGATCTTGGCAAAAGAATTTACAAAAGCAGAGAGAGAGAGGGGATAAACCGATTGGCCTTATCTCCAACTGTGTAGCCAGTGTGATCATCCACAATCAACATCATCAGCCTGATTTCAACCAGCTCACCAGGCTCACAGGCTCCTCTGGATCAGAGTCCACCAGCCTCAGCTGTTTGTACATGAAGAGGAGATCAATCAGGTCGATGGTGTTGGAGCGTTTCAGGAACGACTCGTATGCCTCCACAATGAGATCATAGTTCTCCAGGCGTGCAGGGCTGGGGGGCAGCAGGTGAAGTTTGTCTAACAATAAGTGTTTCCAGGCCATCAGGACATCACTCAGAGCCACTTTGAACTCTCCGCCATGCTGTCACAGGAAGAGAGAAAGCAGCATGTGCAATTACAAACAGCCTGGAAACAATCAGTTCAAAAGCAAAGAGACCTTCTGCAGCCATCCAAAAATAAGCCATGAGTGGTCTCACCCGGAAACCTGCAGTAATGTCATCAGTTATAGACGTGATGACAGTCGGCCTGATGGTTCAATTGAACTATGCCGTGATGATGATGTGAAATGGGCTCACACAGCCTCGCTTTTACGACACCGGATAACAGACACACTGTATATTTTTCCTCCTTAATTCCATTTATTTTCCATTTTGCGAAAGAGGAAATTCATCAGTTGCTCGAAACTGCCGTTAGCCTCACCTTCAAAATTCAACTTTATCCTAAATGAGTCCAGAAACATTAACATTTAAAAAAAAATGAGTATCCTCAGAGCGACTGAGAGTGAAGCGTGAAAGGCTGGGTTTACAACATGGTTGCTGTCACAGTACGTTTCAATTCAGTTTTAATTTTCCAGCACCAACTCACAATAAATCAACTCAAAGCTCTTTATATTGGCAAGTGTCAGAAACGTCCAACAAGACGAGATTGCCCGTAAGCAAGCATTTGTGACAGTGGGAAGGAAGAACTCCCTTTTAACAGGAAGAAAACTCCAGCTGAGCCAGGCTAACACAGGGGCAGCCATCTGCCATGAATTGGGGAGGCAGAAAAAAAATTAAGAAAAAGAGAAGACAAAAGTTAATGCCATGCAGCAGAGTGCATCATGGGAAGTCCCACACAAGCCTGAGCCTACACCAGCTCAACTAACAACTGATTCAGGTTCACCTGATGCAGCCATAACCATGCTTTTCCAAATCATTATCAAAAGTAAGAGTTTGAAGCCTATTCTTAAAACAGAGCCCGTCTCCTGAACCCAAACTGAGAACTGGTTCCATAGTGGAGGGGCCTGAAAGCTGAAGGCTCTGCATGAGATTGAAGGAATACAACACTCCAGTCTGGAAGTACTAAATAAATGAACTGTGTCTGTGAAGGTTCTCAGTCATCCAGGTCATCGTAGTCAAAGGAGCTTGCAAAGAAAAGCGTCTGGACTTCTTTAAGTTGCTTGAAGACGTTTCACCTCTCATCCGAGAAGCTTCTTCAGTTCTAAGGTCAAATGGTGGAGAGTCCCAGATTTAAACCTAGTGGGAGTGTCCCCCCACAGAGGGACAAAAGGACCCCCTGACTCACATCCTGGGCCATCTGACCTCAGGAATTCGCATGATAAGGTGGGGGCCAGGTTTCACAATGAGCTCACCTAAAACCCTGGCTGATTGGGACCCACACCCAATTTCACACCTTGGCTCATCAGGGGGTCCTTTTGTCCCTCTGTGGGGGGGTTACTCCCACTAGGTTTAAATCTGGGACTCTGCACCATTTGACCTTAGAACTGAAGAAGCTTCTCGGATGAGAGGTGAAACGTCTTCAAGCAACTTAAAGAAGTCCAGATGCTTTTCTTTGCAAGCTCCTTTGACAATAAATGAACTAATTTTTCAACGTCAGTCTGAGACAGGATGTTTCTATTTTTAACAAATATTGTGCAGATTAAAGAAAACAGTCCTACATATTTGTTTAATATGTGCAGCGACGGATATATCCTGTTATAAAATGGCTCTAAGATTTCTCAGAGTGTTACTGGATAGCCTGACCCTTTTGTTAAATAAAGGGCCTAAAATGCAAGTTATTGGTTTACCATTAGACAAAGTTTGATAACTTCAGAAAACCTTGGGCTATCAGAATTGCTGCATTTCAGCTACTTTAACTTTACTTTTAGATGGATTTTTTAAAAATCTGTATATATAGGCATTTTTAAGCATAAAGGGACCAAACTACAGAGGAATAAAGCTGATCAGCCACAGCATGAAATTATGGGAAAGTGTAGTGGAAGCTCGATTAAGAATGGAGGTGATGATTTGCGAGTGGCAGTAGGGTCTCGTGCCAGGAAAGAGCACTTTGAAAGTCAGACGTAGACCCATTGAGACTTTGTGGATTTAGTCAAAGCATGTGGCGAGGGAGGAGGTGAGTTACTGCATGAGGAACTAAGTAGCAGCAAATGGCACACATGAGGGCAATGAGGTGGGATAGGTGGTTTCAAGGTAGAGGTGAGACTGCATCAAGGGTCAAATGTGTGACCTGTCCTTTATAGATATGAATCAGATCAGTAAAAGTATTTTAAAGTGTATGAATAAATGAATCAAGTCCAGAACCGTATTACTTAAAACTGAGTAACTTTGAGGTGGTGTTGCAGCATTTTAATGAACCTATTTTAAACTGCATTTTACATCCAATCTTTTTTTGTAGTTTCTGTGTATTCCTTGTGGTCTAACAACAAAGCTGTGGAAGAAATCAAGATACATGTTGTGTATTATTTGTGCAAAAATGATGCAATCATGAAAAAAGCCCATCAGCTACGCAGTCTGAAAACCTTTCGACTGGTACTTTGGGTCAAAGCGTGACTTTTGTGGCTTGTGAAAATAAGGAGCAGGCTGATGGGAGATCTCATCTAGAGAAGAGGCGTTCAAATCAGTAAGACTGAGAGTAAGTGCATGCAGATGAAAGAAAAAGGAGCACAGCAGAGAACGAGTTGGTGAAGATGAATTTGAATATTTGTGGTCAACTGTTCAAAGCAGCAGCAGGGTGGAGGAGATGGATGAGAATATAAGGAGAAGGGTTTAGAAGATGTCATGTGGCTTTGACAGTCACTCAGCTGGATGCAGCTGAGTTAAAGATGCTACGATTGTGATTGAGTGGGACTGTTAGGGAAGAGTGCAGAAAGGTGGGTTATTTAAGATCTCCATGTTTTCAATCATTATCCAACACCAGCCTCTTATGTTGCTCACAAAAATACACAAATTAATAAATAATAAGCACATAAAAATAAAGCTACTATTTGTGGTAGAGTGTAGAGGATGAATTCAGAAGTATGACAGCCTGAGGAGATAAACTGCTCTGACGCCTGGAAGTTCGGCAGCTGATACTCCTGTATCACTCGCCAGATGGCAGCCTGGCTTACAGGCTGTGCCTGGTGTTGTCTTTTCATATCCTTTGAGCTCTGCGCAAATTAGAGGATGCTGCTAAAGATGGGGCTGGCAGGCAGGGGGGGAAACTGGAATGCCACAGATGAGGTTGATGGAGGTGGTGAGCGAGGACAGATACAAATAATCTGTGGTATTTTCAGGGTGTTAGGGTTACCTTTTTATTCACTTCTGCCATGGCCACCTGCAGCACCATAAGCATGCCATCAGCTCCATGAATGGTGGTCCTCTCAGACTGTAAGACCCGGTGACGCTCCCTCCTGAAGGTTTTCACCATCAGCTTGAGTTGGTCTCCTATACCCTCCATTATTCCCTTAAACAAAAGCAACAAAAAATTCTATCGCACATTTAAATGCAACAAAGTTGACCAATGTGCTTCACAATTAAATAAGAACAAGAGAAAACATTAATAAATAAAATTAAAAAAAATATATCTATCTATCTATCTATCTCTATATATATCTATATCTATCTATCTCGAGAGAGAGAGAGAGAGAGAGAGAGAGAGAGAGAGAGAGATAAGATGAGGCAATGACAATGTATTAACATAAAAACAAAACATAAAACAAGCCTGATGTTAAACTGAACTTGATTTAAAAGCCAACATAAAAGATGTGTTTTAAGTGTGATTTGAAGGACTGTGTAGATTCTGAAGTACGAATATCATATGGCAAGTGATGTGAAGTGATGTGTACCTACATTCTAACACCTGTTAAAAGACATGCAGCAGCATTTTGGACTAAAATGCTGCCGCAATGGAGAGATCAGTGTTGACGACCCAAATAGAGAAAACTGCAGTAGTCCAGTTTAGAGGTGATGAAGGCATGAATAAGTTTTTCTAGGTCTTTAGGAGGAAGATGATGCTTCGCAATTTCACGTAACTGATTAAAAACCGATTTCACAACTGTGGACACTTGCTTCTCTAATTTAAAAGAGCCATCTAAAAACATGCCGAGATTTCTTACAGTGTGGAAATGCAAGCAAGAGGACCAAGGGTATCAGTTATCCAAAAGGGCCATGACTTCCAAAAACAATAACTTCAGTCCTATTTCCATTTAGGGCGAGAAAATTGTGTTTTAACCACTCTTTAACATCATGTAGGCAGTTAAGCAGAAGGTGAAGGGGGACAGAGACATACAGTTTCAAGGGGAAGTAAATTTGGATCAGTATAACAGTGAAAGGGAATGTGTATTTCCTGAAAATGGATCCCAAAGGTATCATGTATAAAAAAAAAAGCAGAGAGTTGGATCCAAAACAGACACAAAACAGACCCCGGTGGCACATCACAACAAATAGGGGGAGTATTTCCCAATAGCAACAGAAAAAGACCTCTCTTTAAAGATAAAACTGTGCCTTTAAGACCAACGACATGGTCAAGTCGGATAAAAATAATGTTATGAATAACTGTGTCAAAGGCGGCAGTCAAATCTAAAAGAACTAAAGCAACAGAACAACCTTAGTCGACAGAGCCTCCTTGAAAAGGCGAAAAGGAAGAATATCCTGAGGGGAATTCGAAGGTCTTAAGTTACTGATTGCTTCCTTCAAGAAAGGAAAAAGTCACTGGCAAAAAAAAAGAAACCCTCAAAACCAATTTATACATATAGTTCTTTAAATACAGAAAGACATACCTGAAATTAATTTAAAGACTTAATTTTCATACAGGGTCTCAGTGGCATGTAACACCTTCGATAACTTGTAAGTATTTCACAGCAAAAATGTGTCCACATTTTACATCTACAACTACATACATATACACAACACAGCGTTTATTCACTTTACATTAAAAAAAGACTGATTAAACAACGCAAACCTCTTAAATTGCTGCAGTCTTCCAAGAGCACACAGCCACGACACAAAGCAGCTGTTTTGAAATTTTAAATTGCCGATGACGTTGTTCCTTTTTGTCCAATCACCTCTCAGCAAATAGCGGGGGTGAGATTTTTCTTTTCGTAGAGATATTCAATTCTAAAACTCGACAGCTAGCTATATGTTCGTGTCATTAGACGTGTTTCAAATAAAATCTTTCAGTAACGCTTATGGATTTTCTAAAGTGGTTTAGACTTTCTCCCCAAAAATTTCTGTCGCCATAACTAATACCCAACCACCCTCTGACATCTCTACTCGATGGTACGTTCCGTGTCGTAATCGGAAGAAGATTGAAAACATCTCAAACGCGGGCAGCGTTTCGTTCAAGGGATTCATTGAACATAAGGTAGTAAAGTCTATCAGTTACTGCTGTGTTCTGAGTTTAGATAGACCCTCACCAGTAAGGGTTAGCTACGACATTGCCAGGCTGCGGTTTGACTGGTAAAAACGACAAGCAGTGCTTCCGCATTTAAACCAGCAGCACGTTTTGCTTCTAGACTGGTGACATGCTACCATTATTATTATTCTTCCACAAAAGCCACACTAGTTTAGCTGAGATATCATATTCACCTAGTTTTCCTTTACAAAAATAACATGAAAATAAACGACCTTGTTGCAACTTAGCGAGAAAAAACTTAACTCATAAGCAGTAATACAATTTTAAACACTGTCTGCATTTGTACTAAGTTTAAAAAAAAGGGGGGGGACTCTGTGTGTATATTAACTGCGCCGAATCTAATGTTGATCAATGTAGTTTGGTAAAACATAGTCCAGCTGCGTCCTACTTGCTGTGCATGAGTCTGTAACTACTGGGATATGAAAAACAAGAAAGTCTTTGATTGACGTTTGGTTTTTAAGATCCTTAGCAACTGTAACCCTGCAGACTTTTTTTCCCTTTTTTTTATTGAACATAAGCAAAAATACTGATTTAGTTAAGTTTAACTTTATTTTTTATCTGCAAGATACAAAAGAGGGTTTATAAATCCCCAACTAGTGTAGTTAACAAAAACTAAGATAAAAGTAGGCCTGAAAACAATTTTAGTTGACTGAAATAAAATCCAGTCTAGACTTTTTAAAAATATACATTCAATAAGTTCCTGGAAATTTTCTTGATATAATGGCATCAGTTGCAGCAGATTTGTGTGTTGTACCTCCATGATGTACAGCTACAACAAGTGGTTGTAGCTCAGGTGGTAGAGTATGTAAGTATGATGTATGAATGTGTGTGAATGTTAGAAAGATAGATGTAGAAACAAGTGCTTGTTTGAATGGGTGAATGATGCATGTTGTATAAAGAGCTTTGACTGCTCTAGTAGAGTAGAAAAACGCTATATAATAACAACTCCATTTACCACATCTAAGGTGCTCAAACACTTAACAGAACTGACTTATTTTAAGACATTACAATTAACACAACATTTATTTTGTGCCTGAGTATTTTGTGCCTTTTCATTAGAAGCCCATTGATTTACCTTTAAGAGTTAAGACAAACCTAATGTTATTTATCCTAAAAGTTGGGAACCTGTTTAGTTAATCAGTTAAAAATCAAGTTAAACACAACCTTTAACAAAATAGCTCAATATCATCATATATGTAGTGTTGAAACTTTTAATTATCACATTTATCATGACTACTGGTACATTTACCGATAATAATCTGATCAATGAACTGATGTTCTTGTTTAAAAGTGGTTTTAAACAACAGGTATTGATGATCATCCTAATCATTTCCTATCGGTTATCCTTCTGATTCTTTCAGTGGAAGTACGCGCGACATGCAGGAGGACTCAAGCCACAGTCCCAGCTACACCGTGCCATGTGACGACTTTGTTCATGTGGTGGAGTTCAGTCCCTTCAGCTCCGGTACCCCGGCATCTCTCCTGGCCTATGGTGGAAACCAGTACGTGGTGGTGGGCACCTGCCTCTTCCAGGTTAGAGATACAGTCTCACGTGTTTTGGTTCACTGAGTGCACATCTGTTTCCTTCTCTGAATGCAACTTTGCTCCTACAGGAGGAGGATGTGGAGGTCGAGGGAGTTGAATTCAATGTTCTTCGAGCTTTTCACCATGAACTGCGTGTCGACGCTCTAGCCTGGAGCCCCGAGTCTCGGCTGGACAGGATACCCACTATCAGGTACTAGGCCACTTGCATTCCACGTGCTTTGGCCTTCTTCTGTTTTTTTGTTTTGTTTTGTTTTTTTATATCCAAATCAAGTCTTTTTATTAACATCGTTCACTTTGTAGCTTGGTGGCTTGTTTAAAACTCTTCATGTAAGTGCTTTCTGAAACCTGAATGAAGACACCCATGTTCAGCTTCGGGAGCTGAAGACATTCAAAACATGGGTGGTCACTTTTGAGCTTGATTGAAGTTTCTCATCTGATGTTTCTGGTTTTCGCTGGGTTAAATCAATTGCCCCCTGCTAGGGCTGGGCGATATGGCCTAAAATTTATATCGCGATATAATTT